AAAATCGTAGAACCAGCTGCTAGCCCTATTGAAGCCACCATGTTAAATGCTAGATTTTAGGGTCCCCTTTTCAGTCACACTCCCACTGATGACATCCTAACCTCACCAGAATGGAGAAATGGAATGACGTGTTTGCTCTTAATTACATCCTAATCATATAGAAAACGAGCCAGAGGCTTAGGTGAGAGAAATGATGAGGAAGTCAGAAATTACTGACTTTTATATATCTGTGTCTTATGTATCACGTTGTCATTCCTCTTGGTCAACAAAAAGTCTCTGGCTCTGTGAACTTTGCCCCCTTTCTGCCCTCACGTGAGTAAGTAAACTCCTCACTAGATAGAAACAGGCACGTGATGTGGTTATTTATATTCCTTAACACCATATTCTTGACTTGATTTCTGTTTTACATTGGAGGGTAGAAAGTTGAATGTCTTATTTTGCTCTGTCTTATATTACATGAAATAAAAAAAATAATGAGGGGTTTTTTGTTGTTGTTGGTTTTTTTTAAATTGTTTTTTTTTGGGGGGGGGGGTGGCTGGCTGGCAAGGAAATCTGAGCCCATGACTTTGGTGTTACAAGGCTGCACTCTAACCAGCTGAGCTAACAGGCCAGCTCTTTGTGGTTTTTTTTAAAGCCAAAGTTTAATAGAAATGTAAATTGGATGCATGTGTGTTTGTATGAGCTCTCAGAGATCATGCAGAAATGTTCTACAAAGAGAAATAAATTTGTGGAGAAAGATTTGAAGGGATGGAAGGAATATACGTACAAAGACAAATTGAAAAGAGTATGTGTTAATAAAGGTTAAAGCTGGTTAAGAACCCAAGCTTTCAGATAGAAGTCATTTAAGTCAGTGTTCTGCATTTATGTTTTGTATGCTGTGTAATCATGGCAAGGTAATCAACATTTCAGTGTCTCCATTTTCTAATACAATGGAAAGATAATATGTGTGGCTATGATGGTTTGTAAATGCTATGAAAAGTGTCTTTTTGTAATAGGCCTATCTGTGTTTCTTTTTTTTTTTAAAGATGACTGGTAAGGCGATCTTAACCCTTGACTTGGTGTTATCAGCACCACACTCTCCCAAGTGAGCCACGGGCCGGCCTCCTATCTGTGTTTCTAAAGCAGCATTTAAAAGTTCTGAAAAGATTATTTGCAAATATTTTCATTTAGGGACTGTTGGGGGGGGGGAGTGTAGCATTGCTGTATGAAATTTATGAAAGTACTGTTAGAGTTGCCCAGATTTTGTAGACTCCTTTGTCTATAATAACCTAAGATTGTTAATGTTCCTTAATGATTTGGCAACAGTTTTCTTTCAAATTCCATTATCCCCCTAGAAAATCTTCACTTAAAAGCTGAAATCAGCCCTTAACAGTAATAATGTTAACCCTTTCTTCAAACCTACTTTTCAAACAGTAAGTTGTAAATGGAGTTAGGTATAAAGAAAAAAAGACCTCAAATCCTGCTCCCTCAAAAAATTCTTTTGGTTGGGGGCAGAGGAAAAGGCAAGAATTAATTTGTTAATTTATCAAATAGCAAAAGCCTAGGCTCATAGCCACCCTGCCTGGATTAAAAATGGCCCCACTGTTTTCAATAGTTGTGAGGACTTGAAAATTTTATTTTTTACTTTTTTATTGTGAAGTGTATTGTACATTCAGAGTAGTATCTAAAATTTAAATTTACCATGTAAAGAAGAAAACTAACACTTGTTACCCACCACTGAGATTAGGAAGTAGAATGTCAGTGGTACCTTATAACCTCATGTGTACTCCTCCTTCATCCCACAATGCCTTCTCCAGAGGTGCCTGCCATTCTCACTTGTGTGTAATCATTCCCTTGCTTTGGGCTATAATTGTGCCACTTTTATATACCACTGAACAATATATAGGTTAGTTTTGAAAGACTTAGTAGCAAACAAACTTGGCAGTAAGGAAGAAGCAGTACTTCCACTATTACATCAATTTCTTCCGGTAGAGTGTTATCTGAACACTCTCTGGGTGAGGGTCTGGCTTTCCTAACAGTTTACCAAAGCCCCTTCCAGGTATGTCAGTGAGGAAGGTCATGAGTGAGACCTGAGACTGTTAAAGATAGTTAAAAATCTCTTGTCATTCTACTTGTAAATATTTTAGTATACATCTCAGAACTTGGCTTTAAGTAAAACGACTATAACCACCATAATATCATCACATCTGACAAAATTAACAGTAGTAAGAAGAGGAGTTCATCAAATTTCCAAAGCAGTGCAGGATACAGGAAATATAAAGAGCCATTGCAAGTAGCCTAATCAAAAAAGCTGCCTAATTTTTATCAGTATAGATTTTTACTGTATCTTACTCTTCACTGTGCTACATTTTATCCCATAACGTCTTAGGTCTCCCTCTTTTGTCACTTAATATTTGGCACCAAAAAAAAAAAAAAATCTTTTTTGCATATGGAAATGACAAGTAGTCAGAGGAGGCTGCTTTATAATTGACAGGTGGGTTAGATGAAAACTCTCTTGTAATAGTTTTCTGTTACAGCCTAGAGATAATGATTTTTAGGTCAATTTATTATTTCTTCTGTTAACTGATTTATCAAAGATTTTCTTTCCCTCAAATCAAAATAAACACTGTACTAAACACATGGCTTCATAAACATTTTTTTCCCACCTATAGATCTTTTTCAAAACTTTTTTGTAATGTGATTCAGTAGGAGGGATAATCATAAGGAAGAGGATTCCAGAGGGGCATGTTAACATGTTTTTGTTTTTTAAAACATAGAATCACAGAAAGTTGCAAAGATAGGCATGTTAACATGTTTTTGTTTTTTGACACAGTGGGCCTATATACCCTTCACCCATCTCCTAGTGGTTACATCTTACATAACTCTACTACATTATCAGCACCAGGAATTGGAAATAGCTACAATGTGTGTACAAAGTTCTATTTTATCACCTGTAAATTCATGTAACCACTACTCCAATGAAGATACAGAATTACTCCTTCATCACATATATTCCCCTGGTGTTACTTCTTTATAGTCATTACCTCTCCATCCCCCACCCCCCATCCTTAACTCATGGCAATCACTAAATTGTTCTCAATTTCTGTAATTTTGTTATTTTGCAAATGTTATATAAATGAAATTCAGTAGGATGTTACGCTTTGCTTTTTCTCTCAACATAATGCCCCTGAAATCCATCCAAGTTGTTGCATGTATCAGTAGTTCACTGAATGTTTTTCAAGTAAAAATAAATGCCCTGTTAACTCACTATACCAAAACTCAGTCCACCCAAAACTGCCCACCCTCAAGTTTAAAAAGACTTATGAATTTTTGTGGGTTGTGTATATTATTATATTTACATTATAAAATTACCATGAAAGTAATTAACACATAATTAGTTTTCTTTAAGTATAAGTTTGATGTAAGCATACAAAGGTCATAGACATCAAGTACATAAAGCTTGGAAATAATATAAGACCAATGTTCATTATAGCTATTACTCTGTAAATTCAAAAAATACCAAATAGGGGTTTAAAGGCAATCTGATTTGAACAATTTATAAAAATGATTATAACCTCTTAGCCTAATCAGAGGTAACTAAAAAGCAGGTTTACTTGTCTATCCAAATTAATGTTTAATAAACAGAATTTCAGGCAACAAAGTAAAATTTTTTTTTGTCTTTTTGTCTTTTTGTCTTTTTCCGTGTCCGGCAACGGATCGCAACCCTCAGTGTTGCCCCCGTACCGGACCGGGGACCGGCAACGGGATTGCAACCCTCGGTGTTGCTCCCGCACCTCGCTCAGCCAGTGAGCGGGAACCGGTCTGTATGTGGGATCCGAACCCTCGGGCGGGAGCGCCTCCACGCTTCCCAAGCGGCGCACTATCCAGAGCGCCACTGGGCCGGCCCCCGGTGCTTCTGTTTTATAAATGGTTTTTCATTTAAAGAGACAAAATTAGTGTTGACCGTTCTTTTTGCTTTCTTTGAAATAATTTCAAATTTACAGAAGATTCTAAGAATAGTACAGAGAGCTCATGTATATACCACATTCACCAACTTTTAGCATTTTTTCATATATTCATTCCCTTCATACATTTATTCATCTGTCAAGTTACATATACATACACACACATAGATATGTAAAATGAATTTTTTCTGAATTATTTGAGCTTAGGTTACATATATCATGATTCTTCACTCTTTAATATGTCAGTATGTGATTCCATAGAACAAGGATATTGTCTCATACAAACAGTGCCGTTAACAAATTTAGGAAATTTAACATTGACGGAATATTTTTATCTAATATAGTTCATGTTACAGTTTTATCAATTATGTCCTTTTTAGCATTTCCCTCTCCTATACAGAACCCAGTTCAGGGATGGATGTTAGTTGTCATTTCTCTTTAATTTCTCTAATCTAGAGCCGTTCTTTAGTCTTTGTCTTTCATAACATTAACATTTTTGGAGAATGTATTTCATGGAGTGTTCCGCATGATGGTTCCCCTTAATTAGCTTCAAGTTAGATATCCCCAGCTGGTATACAACATGAGTGATATTCTGTCTTCTCAGAGAATTACAGCTAAAGGTGCACAATGCCTATCAGCATCCCATTAGTGACATTAATTTTGATCACCCGTCAAGATGTTTGATTTCTCCATTATGTGGATACTATTTTTCCCTTTGCAAGTAACAAGCAGTATGTGGGCACTTTGAAAGCATGGAAATATTCTGCTCTATTAAACTTGTACCCCAAGATTTCAGGGTGGTTCTTTAATGATTCTTGCCCAAACCACTCTTTATTTTCCCAAATCACTCTTTTTTGAAGATTCAAAATGGGTGAGGGTCAACCTTTCTAAAGTACCTTGTCCTGCAAATTCAACTAGATTTTACAAACATTTATTTACTTACTTATTTTAAGACTTTAATCTGTGCACACTACTTAAAATAATTGCTAGTGTATTTTAACTTAAAATGTTTGTTAAACCCTGGGTTTATTTTTAATCCTTTGCTGCCCTCTGCAGGTCTATGAATATAAATCTTTGGAGCAAGGTAAGTACTCCTAATATTGCAACTCATGAGGTGCTGTGTAAGGGCAAAATTTTTAATAGCTTCACACATTTATGGTGTACTATTATAAGCTAATGAATTTAGAATCTTGATATTGGTCATTTTTAAATAGTATGAAATTTGTTGTTGAAGTAATCCTGAGTTAGTCCTAAATTCTTAATAAGATTTTCAGCTTTTCCAAAAGAAAACTGTTAACATTATTATAGTGACTTTTGACCTTACAAATTTAATAATTAATTTTCTTAATATATATACAAGGTTACTTCAGAAACTTTGTGGAAAAATAGAAAAGGTAATATGAATATTTCCTTGAACTTTTTGAAGTAAACTCATGTACAGTTGTGTGTGTTTCCATATATGAATGAATATGCAGACCAAGTTTATACTGCTACCTTTTTAAGATGTTAACTGATTTTATGCAGGAAGTGTAATTATAATGATTTGTAAGAAAGATTTTCAGCTTAATAAAATTAGAATGCACATTATTGACTGAAATTCCCAATTAAAAAATTTTTTTAATCTAAATTTCATTCAATTCCATTTGTAGTATTACTCAAGCTGTCGTTTAAACTATATAGTCAATTCTCTTGGGATATTTATATCTAGAAATAATTCTTTTTTGACTAGAGAGATTTTCATTGGTTTATTTATTAAATGTATTTTTGTTCAAAATTTGGTATTACAGTTGGCTGTATTACATCTACTGTATGGCTACAATTTCGGGTAGAATTTGTCTTCTGTGTGTGTTGATTAAAAACACATTTGTAGATGAGAATTATTTTGTTTTGCTTTTCTTTTGAACAATTCTTGTTTCTACCTTTACTAGCCTTTGAGTTGCCATTAACTGCAGCATAATTTTCATGGTGGCATATGATAAATTTTGCCTAATTTACCTTATTAGCAAATAAATAATAGTAAAAGTAACTGCAGTTTGAGTTCTTAACACTTATATGCCAGGCACTCTTTTAAGAGCAATTAAGCTCAGTTGTAGAATACACATAAAGTAGTTCAAAATTCCTAACCCATATCACTTTGGACAACTACTATATGTTTCCATTCTTATTATTTTCAGCCTGAGGCTGTATAGTCAGATACAGTGTTCAAAGTCATAAGTCAGTACTGTAGGTTGCTGAAAGTGTTATATATAAATATATAATCATAAAATAATTATGATTAATAATTATTTTGATCATTAAATATATATTTGCATTTTTAAATAAAAATGTTGCCAGTAGAATATTGAAAAATAAGTGTTGTGCATGTTTTTTCATGTTTGAGAATTCAGTTGATAACAATCCATGAGAATAAACACGTTAGAACTTTTCAACCCTTTTGTTTTAGTTCCATTAAAATGAATGGAAAAGTGTCATTGAATAACTAAACAGTTTAGTTATTTCAGAGATTTTACTTTATTACTTCTCTAAAATATTTTACTTTATTATTTCTGTAAAACTTCATTTGAAGGGAGGAAACTGGTCCAATTTTAATGAGACCAAGAACAATATGATGAGGAATAATATTGGTTGATAATTTCTATAAGCATTTTTCTATTTATAAAAATTTATTTTAAATGATATACAAGCAAATCATTTTAGAGGCTTTCTTTGTGATATTTAAAAAAAAAGTTGCAGTTTTCTTTCAACATGGGTTTGTTTTTGTCTTTAAAAGACAAACCTATTATTTAAAAACAAAACAATCTCCTTGGTGGGTAGGGTTGGTGGTGTTGAATTACTGTGATATAGAATAATACCTTACTAGGGAGAGGCTTTATTATTTCAGTAATTCAATTTCAGATTGTGTTTGTTCTTGTTTGCTTCTCTTGCTGCAATGCACGAATTTTCTGTCTTACCAGATAACAGAATTGTTGTACAAGGATGGACGTTATTGCCGGGAGCCTCTAGGACCAACGGGTAGCGTTTCAATTTCGATGATTGTAACTTATCCACAAATCCATTCTTCTGTGTAATGATGGGCTAGAAGGATTACAGCAGTAAACACTTTCTTTTTGAAAGTGAAATTTGAAAATATTTGGTTATAAATTTTTATATGGATAACCACAACATTTTGAGATCTATGAGGTGTTTGGTTTTATTGTAATTATTTTTTTAAAAACAGTTGGGAGGCTTTTTCTTTTTGGATATCAAGTAAATGCTTCTTATAGCATCTATGAAAATAGGCTTAAAATCAATGATTCTTCAGGTTTATGTGATTTTAATGTTTTGCAGGTGTAGATAATTTTAAACATAAAGTATGAAAAAGGTCTCATGGATTTTTTCCACTTAAATGTAATTTATTACCCAAAATACATTATTTTGACATTTAATGCTTTTCATTTTTTATGTAATAAAGCTTAGAATATATAGTGTTCTGTAAGAAGGTATCCTTCTTGAAAGTTCAAATTTCCTATCGTAAGTATTAACACGTGGCCCTATACATTTTATGCTTCAATGCATAGGAAAATTACTGTTGTTACAAAACATCTTTGTTAATCTTGGATTTTCATTGGCTAATAGGCAGCTCTCCACAGGATTACTGTATCTGCTTATTAAAATTATTTAACTTTCTATACTCAACATTTAACAATCCTTTCTAATTTATGTCTTTCTGTAAATATTATTCACAAAAAAATTAGTATAGAAATGTGTACAAGACATTTATTTATTCTTATTGCTTGTTATTTGGACAGAAGAGGGGTAGGGCCTTGGGCAGGACCACTTCTGTCACAGAGTGGTGGAAAAAAATGGATTGAAGTAAGATTCAGTACTGAAAAGCTGTCACTCGGTCTGAAAATAATTAATATTCCTTTCACTCACCAGTTAGATATGTGCTCCCAAACCACATAATCTCTATGCCTCAGTGATCATTGTTGCCATTTCAGAGCCTCTCATCAGGGTGACATCTCACACCAAAATGATTTCTTATAAATTAATCTTGATAACATGACAGTCTCAGTAATTTTAGTGGAATGCTTTCTCTTGTTTTTTTCCACAGAAGCTGTTGGCTATTTTCTTTATAACTTGATTGACAGCATGAGTGACTCAGAGGTACAGGCCAAGGAGGAGCATTTGAGACAATACTTCCATCAGCTGAAGGAGATGGTACCATTTCATTTTTTGCTATATAATGCCTGTCCTGTCTGACATGTATCTATTAGATTTGAAATTGCTGCTTTTAAGTACAACCAGACCACTTCTCAATGACATGCAAGAGTTGGAGACTTAAATTATGTCTGTGATAATTTCTGTTAGACAAATTTCAGTTTTGTTGTTTAAAACTCAGGTTTTTCCCCCCTTCCTTCCTTTTGCACAGAATGTAAAAATTCCTGAAAATATCTACAGAGGCATTCGTAATCTACTGAATAGCTACCATGTTCCTGAATTGATTAAGGTGTGTGTGAAATAATAATCAACTTTATAAAATGCTTAATTTATATATAAAAGCATGTTAAAATTTTATTTAAATATGTTTAAAAATGTATTTCAGTGACAGTCATTAAAACAAAGCTTTTTATTGATTGTTGGTAAATACTGTTTATATATTGAATAATATATTTAAAACATTAGTTAAAATGATTAACCAAAGTGTGAGTGAACATAATTTCTGAAAAATTTTGGAAAGATGGAAAAGTAGCAGTAAAATGAGGTGAGAATTTCAAAATTTTCTTTTGACATTTTTCCATGTTTTTTCTAATTCTCTACTAATTTAAATCCCAATTTTAGGATGTTAATATGTTGGTTGAAAGAGAGAAGACAGATTCTCAAAAAGTAAGTAGATTTTTGAGTGGATTCTACATGTTATAATAACCACATTTAATAAGAATTCTAGACTGTCCTTGTAAAACCAGTGGTTCATCTAACATTTTTATCGTCTTGCATACCACTAAAGAGTTGGTAAAACCTATTCCCCATCTCAGAAAAATCAACATATGTAAGAAATTTGCAGATGATCTCAGGAGGTTTGTAAACCCCTGTAGTCCATCCATGGACCCCAGTTAATATCTCTGATATCATTTATGACATTTAGGAAATTATAAAAGAAAGTCAGTTTAAAGGGAAGAGTGGCAAGGGGTGCATTTTGTGTTTTTAGTAAGTTTTTCTTTTCTTTTTTCTTTCCATTTCTACAGACTCTTCAACTTACATCATCTGATTTGGAGTCTACACTTGAAAAACTAAAAGCTGCAAATCAATCTATAAGAGATGTCCTAAGGCAACTCATTTTAATGCTTTGTTCAGAAGAGGTAACATTTGTTTAAATATTTCAAATATGCTCTTAAGGTAAAAAAATTTTTATAGATAACAGTAGGCAAAACCAGTAATAATATTTGTGAATTTTATAATTGATTATTATACATCATACTTATGAAGAATGCAATTAAAATGAAAGGTTAACTAATTTCAGCTACACCTTGAATGGCATGTTTTCGGGTTGCTATAGTTTGTTTACAATAATCTACAAAGTGAGTGATAGTAACAGCTGTGATAGGTTTATCATACATGCCAAATGTCCTTTCAAGCCATGGCTCCGGTCTCAGATATCTAGATTGTCAAGCAACTGATACATTCAGTAGTCATTTGCAAGTCAAATATTACTAGGTTGTTAATGCAGGGATTGAAATTCCATTTTCCTGCTGGAAAAAAGCTCTTTCTGAGATAAAGGGTCTCTTGCCTTTTTTCAGCAGGCGTCCAGCTGTACTTTGTGTTCATTTTAGTGTATGTCTGCAATTTGTGGGGTATCACTAGACTTTTTTCAGTTTCTAGTTCAGTATGATTTGTCCATAAGCCTGTGGTTTTAGGGGGGGAAAATCATCACTAACTTTAAAATTATAACATGCTACTTTTAAATTCTAAAATATTTTTTCACCTTACTTGGATACTAAAATAGACTTAGCAACTTTTCAGTGATATATGTTTGGAAATTAGACTGCGAGTAGGGGCTGACTTGGGAAATATTTAATCTAGAATTCTTTTTTTATAATACAATATACAAAGCTGAAACATCAAATATGGTATAAATAATGGCCTATTTTATATTACAGATAATAAACCTTTTAAACCTTTCATATGTGTCTGACTCGTCTGCTTTTTAAAAGATGAATAAAAATACCGAGGGGTAGGCAGAGTCAGGTTGATAATATGAAACCATTTATTTTTAAAGTACTATTAACTTTTTCTAAACTCGGAACATTAAAACTAAAAATGTGACATTTTTACCTTTATATTAATTATTTCCTTTTTTTTTTTTACTTCTATCCTTTATTTTAGAATATGCAAAAGGCCCTCGAGGTGAAAGCAAAATATGAATCGGACATGGTTGTCGGAGGCTATGCAGCTTTAATAAATTTGTGTTGTCGACATGATAATGCAGAAGATGCATTGAACTTGAAACAAGAATTGTGAGTACCCTGGCAATTAAACAAGTCATCATTTATGGTGATTTATAGTCCTTGATGGATCACCTAGATTGAATATTACTCTCTTATATAAGGTAATTAAAAATAATTCTTTTGTGGTCGATGTTTGTGAAATTTCATAATATGAGGCTCTTTGATTAATTATGACTTGTTTCAGGAAGGTGTCTTTAAGTATAAGACATTTTATTCCTTAAAGCCAAGGTTTTTTCCCATTGATTATGCAACTGCATGTCATATCGGTGGTGATGGTAACTGTTTTATAAGGCTTGATAACATTTACCTTTCTATATTGCAGTGTAAACAAAGTTCTTTTCATTTCTCAGGTATTTTTGGTTTCCCAACTTGATAGATTTATCAAATAAAAATTCTTTTTGGGTATTTCAGTGTTCATAATAGTTTAGAATCACTCAAAGTGCTGTGAAGCCAGAGTTTCTTCATTTGTATCATTTGCACATGGAGTGATGCAATATGTATGTAGTGTTAGGTTTTTACTACTATGGTCACTTTGAATATAATTACATGTGAATTTGTATATGGCTTCAAAAATAAATCTTAACTGAAAGTATAGAGGCCAATGTTAATAACAATTCTGACCTACTGATAAGCTTTTGAAAGTGATAAAATGGATATTACAGTCCTTTTGCAGTTAATCAGCTGTTAACATAATATAAATGTGGCTTTAATTTTTAGTGACCGTTTGTATTCATCCGCTGTCCTTGACACCAGCAAGTATGTAGGCCTTGTAAAAGTATTGGGAAAGCATGGGAAGCTCCAAGGTAAGCATTGACACATAAAAGAAATATATGATTCAAGTATCCTACCACTGGAATAACATGTGAATTGATATTAATGGTATATCATGTCCTGCAAAGTGCTTGAACACTTTGCATACAAATTTGCATGTGAATCCAACCAGAGCTGTATGGACAGTGTGGGCCATTAGTTTTAATGGATTGGCAAGCTTGTCATTTACATTTGCACAGCTCAGTGCTTTTTGCATTTCTGCAGCTAGTTTTTATTAGCATTGCTGTTTGGATTGAGTTTGAAGATCATGACTTATGGCACGATTTGCTTATACGCCTGCACTAATGGCTTTGTTTTTGCTTAAGAAGGTCTGAATGCTGAACATAAAACCTACAAACATAATCTTATATATAAGAATCTGAATTTTGCGTTAGTCCCTGTCTTAACTTTTAATAACATTAACAAAATGTATAAAGTTTTTATTTAGAAGTTCATGGGAAAAGCATAGCTGTTAAATAGCTGATTTTCATACTCTAATTTTCTTATTGTTGAGATAATGCTAAGCTTAATATAATTAATCACATTTGATAATATTCTGTTTGCTTGTTTCTTAACTTTCTAATTTAGCTTTATTTTCAAACTTCCTTTTTAGCCTTCTTCTATTTCTAGAAAAGACTTTTAATTTTATTATAAGAGAGAATGTATGGGAGACCTGTTTTATTTGCACAAGCAATTTTTTTCCTAGGAAGCCTTTCTAACACAGAAAACTGTTTATAAGGATTAGCCTGCTTTTTAAAGATCACTTTTTGTAAAGTGGTCGAAACATTTTGCGTAGTAAGAACAGCATTATTAAAATGCACTTATTTCATATCCTAAAATGTTTGTTTCTGCCTTACTAATGAAGCTTAATGAATCTAATGTATTAACATTCAGTCTTCTGGAAAGCTTTCATTGGCTCTGCTTGGCTAATTAGTATCGACATAGCAAACAGGCCCTATCGGTATCAGACCATTAGTCTGGCTGTATATACAGTGTAAACACATCTTTATTATCTGGCCTCCTGACAAGCCATCTGCTGAAGAAACAATGGTGTGATTTAGCAGATGTTAGCTCTGAATGATAAAAGCATCCATTTAGTAGGATCTTACAGCTATAGGGCAGACCATACAGGGTTATGTGGTGCAGAGTGGGCACACAGTCCCTATCTATAATTTGTAGTCAAAGTTGCAGGGAAATGATAAAACCATGCTATTGTGGATTTATAATTGTAGTCTCGTTTAGAAATGCAAGTAGTAATTAACTTGAAATCGGCATTATACACTAGAATTTACATTCCTGCTGGGCTTGAAATGCTGTTTTAATAGCAGTTTGTTTTCCCTACATGAAATTACCTAAGGGTCTTTTGTGTTACTTCATTGTAGATGCTATTACCATTCTAAAGGAGATGAAAGAGAAGGATGTTCTCATCCAAGATGTAACAGTCTTGTCCTTCTTCCACATCCTAAATGGCGCAGCTTTAAGAGGTGAAATTGAAACAGTAAAACAGTTGCATGAAGCCATTGTAACTCTAGGATTAGCAAAACCATCTGCCAGCATAAGTTCTCCATTGGTCACTGTATACCTGGAAAAGTAAGTTCATTGAATTTTGAATTTTACATGTTGGCATTAAAAGAATGAATAATCATTTTGGGGTAATACTTTGTAAATACTCTGGTGATGTGGAATGGAAGCCTTCGAGGTCATTTGCCACAGAATAAGAGTACTAATATGAACCAGGTGACCTTTAAATCACTAGCATCCCTGTGGTCCTATGGATTACTTTTCAATGGAATGGTCTCTGGTGATTTTTTCTGTAGGAGCATGTGATGATGTTACATGAAATTGAATTCAGTTTTTCCCAGTTTTAAGCCTAGTCAGTGTTAATTATTAATAAATATAAGAAAGCAGGATCCTCTAGAACTTTTGATTGTGTATCATGACTGCTGTTCAGGTAGTCAATGTAGAAGCATCTCTTCAGTGCTCCTTTACTCCATGTGATATTTTAATTACGTTTACCAATACAGTTATTCTAGCTTTGATAAATGTTGTAGAAGGTTTCTCTGTCTTGTGGGAAGGTGAATTTTGTTGATAGGGCAAGATTTATTGAGTCTGAAAGTTATTCCATTTAAAATGCTCTTGTTGGTGCCCAATTTAGGGTGGCTTTTGCAGTGCAAATTATAAAATCAGTCTACTAGTTTGTAAAGAGTGAAACATTTTAGTAAGATGATTAAGCACTCTTTATCTTTTCCTTTTGCGTTTGTTTTTGTTTTCTGTTTTGTTTTTCATTTCTTAATTCTTAACCTCTTTGTCGTCTTTTCCATGGCTTAATGCAGTTTGTAATCTGCTTATTTTGTGATTAGGGTATGGATGTTGCCCTATCAATGCCAGGAGAAAAATAAAATATTTTAATGGCTCTCATATTCTCCCCAAATTTCGGGTAGTTTTCTTTACTTATATATTTTAATGGCTCTCATATTCTCCCCAAATTTCGGGTAGTTTTCTTTACTTATATATTTTAATGGCTCTCATATTCTCCCCAAATTTCGGGTAGTTTTCTTTACTTATTAGGGGGTATAATTAATTGAATTTAATGAATGATTTAATATTGAATATACAATGTAGAATAAAAAACATCTCTTAACTAGCTCTCTGTTAGGAAATGTATACACACACCACACACACACAAATACACGTGTGCGTGCACACACTAAATAATTCCTTTGCCATCCAATCAAAAACAGTTATCAAGTTAGATGATTGGCCAAATCTTAACTTCACAGTCTCAGCCTTACATCCTTTTAAAGAAATAGTGTTTCAAACAATTACTGTGTTACTGAGTTCTCATACTCACAGCCAACTTTATATAGAAATCGTATAATTAATATGCTTCCTTCTAGAATTTTTTTGATTGTTTAAAAAGACCCATCTCTGCAAATTGCATGTGGAACTCTGTATAGGGATTTGAAAGAAATGGGCCCAGTGCCCAGAAGAATTAAGCCCTCCTACACTACTGGGCAAAAATAAAGTAATTAACAATGAAAATGAGGCCATGGTAGAAAAGTATCTTACAAATAGAAATTCTTCAAAGATGGAGGAAATGTGAAAGTTTTCCGAAAGAGGTCTGCAGATGGGGCTCATGAACCAGGGAGAACTTACCCAAGAGAAAATGCAAACAACATGGTATTCAGATGTTAAACTGGAGCATGCTCTGTGCTTATGATTGTTCAGTGCAGTCAAATATTTGTATGTCTCAGTCAAATTTGGCTGTCCCTTTTAATTGGTCTGAATAAATTAGTATCTTTTCCTTTATGGTGTCTTACTACTTTCAGATACTTATAAAAATTATCACCTTCAATTTTTATTTGCCTAGGTTTTTAGGTTTTTGTGTTAGTGTTAGTCTTTTGGTTTTATTTTTGTTTTATTCTCTTTCCTTTGCAGAGGCAGTCTCTATAACAAGGTCTTTCAGTTTTACTTCTCATAATAACAAGGTTTTATTGACTTTTAGAATCATGAGAATAATAAAAAGGAGATAAAGGATATTTCATATTTATAAAATTGTGGAAAGCAGCAGTATCACTTCTAGTGGAGAAATGCTGGAGTAAAACATTGACTTCAAAACTTTTTTGAACTATGATTCCCCAACTGATGAAAGATAGCTAATTAATTCAGAATCATGAGAAATACTAGCCTGCCAAAAAGTCTGCATGTATTTGATTTGATTAAATATGTTTAATCTTCAGTAATATCATGTAATTGACGTCAGCAGGTATGAGCTCATCTGAAGATTGAACCTTACTTATTAAAACTTGAGATAAAATTATGAAAAACATTTCAGAACATCATAAAAAGTCTTCATTCTTTCATTCAAAAGCAAGCATCTTTTCGGCATGTCATTGTAAAAGACTCTAAAGGATATCACTTTCATATTGTAATTCTGAAGCAAATCCATGAGATTGAGTTCCTTAGAAAGATAAAGCTTTAGATTCAGTACACCTTAGTTTTGAACAGACTTTTCCAGCATTGGATAAAACACAGGAGAAATTAATACTCTTGTCAGTTTGTTTTACTTGGATAATGTAAAACTTCGTGGGTATGTAAATGCATTTGCCAAGGGAAACCCAAAACAATAACAGGTTTGCAAAATTATAAGAAGTAAATTAACCTGCTCTATTATGAAAATGATAATACCTGCATTGAAGAGAAAAGAAATGCACAGAGTTAAACAAAATCTTCATCTATTTCATTTACATTATATTATAGAGTATAAGCTACATATCTACATGTAGTCCAAATGAATGTTATTTTTAACATTTTCTTTTGTAAGTACAGTACTTTATTTTTACTGAAATAATGCCTGATTGAAGTCATGTCTGATTCAGGGATCCTCCACATTAAGGAAGAAAGAAATGCTTTAAAAAAGGTTAAAAGAGCTTCTGGTTAGTCTTCATGTTATGGTAAAGGAGATGAAATTAATAAAATCTGGGGAAATTAGATTTAAAAGCATAAAAATTTGTGTAATGCAGTTTCAAATTCACTTGTTTTATAGCTGATCCATTTGGTTTCACTACATGTGAAAAATATCTGAAGCTGTTTAACTGGATTATATTAATGCAAATGATCAAAGCAGCTTTAATTTCTGCTTTCCATTAAGGATTTTTTTGTGCTAATTTGTGCTGTAATCTGTATATGTACATATGCATTTCATTTAAGTGCATGATGGACTTTGTATATATAATCCTTCCAGAACTCTTGCTAAATTAATGTCAAGTTCTTCATAAAGGTCACAATTTCTGTAAGAGGAACCTATAACAATACAAGTTTTGAAACTCACTATAATGCTTCAGTATGTTACATAAATGGGAAATATACTTTTAAAAATGCTGATTATTCTGTCATACACAGCCCCTTTCAATTTTAGCATCTTCATTTGTACTGGATATTTTTATTATTTATGGGAACGCTTGCCTTCTAGAGTAAAACTCTTTATGTGCTGAAAGGAAATTAAGGAGGTTTGGCTCTTTTACTCCATTATTGCAATTAAGAATTTAGCATCATCAGTGCCAAAGGACAAAAAGTGGTTCATTTGCCCTGGGGGGACAGGACAGTGATAAGATGATTTTTCGTCAGGGATCATTGGGTCGTAATTAAGTTACATTCATGGCTATTGCTTTTTGAAGGATGATTGGTAAATGACAGGCTTCATGTGCTTAGTACGGACAGTGTGCAGTAGGGTTTTTTCTCTCTGTGTCAGAAAATCCTGTTGAGCCTGATAATGTAAATGTGGCATTTTATTCTGAACAAAAGAGCAGGGAAATGAGCTATCTTGTCTAATCATTCAGTTGTTTAACACCGACTTCCAGTTTAGACTCAATTGGCTGGAAAGCACTTGACATGTGAAGTTAGTGCTGTTCGGAACGCATGTTTGAGTAAATTTTAAAGTAAGTGACAGCTAAATTGTACCTAGGGAAATTACAAAGCCTTCAACACAGTTAATTTTTTGGGGAGGATTAGTTGTAATTGCAACACCAGTCTCCTTGAAGATTCCTCATTTATAGATGATGAACAGAAAAAAAACATTTAGCTCTTTCAAGGGCTGGTTCTCATAAAAGAATAATTTTTGTGAAGATGATGGTTTATCCTGAATTGATTGCTCCTCATTCTGAACATCTGCTTAAGATTTTATAGAATAGTTTGATTTTAGGTGCTGAGTTTGGTTTTTTGTTTTTTGGTTTTTTTCTCCCTCTTTAAAACTCTTCCCCCCGCCTCCTCTTTTCCTTTCTCTAGTGATTTCAGATTTGAGAGCTTTTCAATCAGTAAACCCTTTAGGTAAATTGCCACTTCGCTAACACCTTATGCATAATGTTGAAGCATTTTATTCCAATTAAAAGTCAATACTTGTTATCTTTTTTGTTGTTTAAATTAAGTATACTTCGTGATTGGAAAGTTATTTATAGTAAGGAGACTAAGTTTAAAGCTGTTGATAAGTGAATAGTTGTCATTGGTTCTCATTTTAATAATTCAAAATTGTATGAAACACATTTATGATTTTTACAGTTATATGCATTGAGGAATTTATTTGAGTTAGGAGTACATTGTTTCCTGGTACCTCGAAGTAAATATTTTTATGATCAGTGGATGCCTCATATGAATGTATGTCCAGCAAACTTATATCTTACGTAGTGTTTGCTTTTCTGTCAGTGATATCAGAGCATAGTTTAATTTCATAATAAGGACTAAAGAGGTAACATCAGATTTGCTATTTGAGCTTTAAACTTGCCTTTTTTGGACATTCCTATGTGTAATGATGAAAAATTATAATTTGTAGTAGTTTTATATATAGTCATGTTCCCTTAAAAAATGAATTACATGTTATAAAATGAATTTTGATATGGGCCAATTATAAATGTGTGTTCTTAAAGTTTAGAACTATAGAATCTTCTTTTCCCCAGTTATGTCTTTATTTCCATAGGCTCACAGAATTTTGTTACAGCTTATATTGTTAATTTGTGTCAATCAAAATATTACTTTTTAAAATAATTACTTTTTATTAGCATGTATAATTTTATTCATGAAAATTACATAGTCCTTTGAAATTTTGGGGGTAGGGTCTGGTCTTTGAAAATATCACTTTTTTTTTAGAGATAATGGTATGATAGAGTTGATTTTCATTTAGTGTTATTTGAGATTTGTGAAAGCAATGACTGAATTTTGGCGGGGGCTGCTGGCCGATACGGGGATCTGAACTCTTGACCTTGGTGTTGCAAGGCTGCACTTTAACCAACTGAGCTAAGCAGCCAGCCCGAGTGACTAAATTTTTATGAGGAATGGACTTATAAAAATTTGTATGTAAAATTTTAGGAATTATGCATATATTCTGAGAAAAGAATGGAATCAAACTTTTGAGTGCAGAATTAATGTGTTGACAAGATTTCTTCAAAGGAATATTGTTATTTTCCAGTAAAATTTTAAGTCATTTCTGGTGTACAGAGTGTACAAAGGAAATCACACACCACTTTTAAGCCACAGATGCAAGATGTATACTCATTCTCCCACATTTAGTCCTAAGGCAGTTTCTGCCTTTTTCCTTTTGATATTTTGCTCTTCTTACTGATTTCATCCTGCTTAATAAAAGTAGTATTTTCACACGATAATTTCTCTACTGGCATGAAATGTGTGTAGGTGACCTAATAAGCACATATTCATAAAACCTCACAGTGTTAGAACTGGGAGAGAACCCAAAGGTCCTTGAGTTCAGTCATTGTGATAATCTGCTTTTCATCACAACTTCTAGAAATGTATCACCTTACAGCCAAATTGCCTGTAGTACTTACCAGTTGGGATTGAAATTGAAGGTCCTGTGAGTATACAACTGTCTTCACAGCAATGTAAATTTTAAATGCTTTTTCATATTTTTCAGTTCCATCACGTAAGTTTTCAAGCTTTGATAGGAAAGGTTAATGGTGACATAAATTACATGAGGAATGTACATTTTTATCTTTTTAAAATGTGATCCAACCACAAATCAGAATGTAGATAACAGGGACTGAAAAGAATTGACTAGTTATTTAGTTCATTTCTATCTTCAGTATACTTTGTATGAAGTGTTTCATTATAGATTTCTAATTCATTTTGTTAGCAACCTAAAAGAAGTAACATTGTTACTTAACGTTACTAACAAATATATGAATTATTTCCATTTTGCTATTCTTGTCTTTTCTGTTGTTGTTCTGTGTGTGTATAATTTTCAGAAGCATATATTTGGAGACCAAAGATTATTAACATGTCGCTTTGATTGACAGAACAATTATTCATGCATTTATTGATAGCTTTGACCTAATGTAGGGGAAATACAATTGAAACAATACTATTCTAGTTTGAGAATTGATCTGAAAAAGCAAATCTTGCCACTTAAAATCATATGTGTTAGTTTTGCTTTTAGAAGTGTTTTAGTAGTTTTCCATGTAGTAGAATTGTAGAAAGCCAATAACTGAACCTGTTTCTGAAGCAAGGGAAAATACTGATTATATAGAGCTTTATATCATACGTGGTAGCTACTGTAGTGTTACTCTTGTATGACAGTAATCTAGCCTGCAACATCTACTTGCGGTTTTGAAATTAACCTGTAATTTAGTCTTCACCCCAAATGACAAAAATTCAAATGACTCTGTGGGGTGCCAGAAGATGCACTGTAAACAGGGCTTAGTAAGGGGATACGGTAGAGTTCTGACAGGATAGGCTCGTTTTCACTGTGGCAGTATTATTGCAGTAAAATTAACACTTCTTCATTGTATTTTACTTTTTTAGTACAATTTAAAATCTTATTCTGGATAAAATAGTAATTCAGTCTAGGGCAACATAATATTTGTATAATGAACAAAAATGTTAAGGCCTTAATGGAAAATTGAAGAGGTTTTCTTCTTTATGAAAACTTGTGTGTGAGAGAAATTTATATTCTCTACATAAACTGTCACTAATTGTCAGTAGTTGTACTTTGGCTTATGCCTCTAACCATGCCTCTTTTAAAATATATTTCATACTCTCTTTTCAAAAATCTTTAATTTCTCATTCCGAATTGTACCACCTTATTAGGTTATTCAAACAACAGTGCTTTTTTTTTTTTTTAAAAGATGACCGGTAAGGGGATCTTAACCCTTGACTTGGTATTGTCAGCACCACACTTACCCAGTGAGCTAACTGGCCATCCCTATATGGGATCCGAACCCGTGGCCTTGGCATTATCAGAACCACACTCACCCGAGTGAGCCACGGGCCGGGCCGAAACAACAGTGCTTTTATTTATTTATTTTTTTGTCTTTTTCCGTGTCCGGCAATGGATCACAACCCTCAGTGTCGCCCCCGTACCAGACCGGGACCGGCAACGGGATCACAGCCCTCAGTGTTGCTCCCGCGCCTCGCTCAGCCAGTGAGCAGGAACCGGTCTGTATGTGGGATCCGAACCCTCGGCGGGAGCGACGCCACACTTCCCAAGCAGCGCACTATAGCAGTGCGCCACCGGGCCGGCCCCAACAGTGCTTTTAATAGACCATAATGTATAGTAAGATATACTGAACTGAAAGTGGGAAGACCAGGGACCTGCTGCCAGTGCTCTTCTCTGTTTACCTAGTACCTTTGGGAAAATCAATCTCTAGATGCCTCAATTTCCTCATCTCTTTAAGATAAAGGGGGGTGGCAAGTAGAATTGGATCATATAATCACTGTAGTTCTTTCAAGGTCTTACATATTTCTCGTAGTGTCATTTCCTATTTAAAAGGACTTTGAGGACCCACAAGAATATATTCCACATTCTAGAGAAACTCTAGCTTAATGAAAATACATTTTTACTTTAATTCATCACCACATAAAAGAAGCTGGACTTTATAACTGGAAATAATTTTTAGCAACTTACCCTCTAATGAAAAAATGTTTAGAGTTCTCCTAGAATTCACTGACCCACAAGAGTATCCTACTTTTAGCAATAGTCAGTTCGTATATATATGAAACTTGAGGTTATTTTCTACTTATCTGGTAAGGTGGCTGTATGAAAAATATTATGATAAAGTTGAAAGGTGCTTGAAAATTGCTTGATAGCTACTGATGGACATTTAATAAAGTTTTCCAGATCTGAAATTGTCAAGGGCCATAGAGGCCCATAAGTAGTTGGAAAAGATATTTGACAATAGTCCTTGCTTTTAGAAATAATGTATTGTTACTGCAATTTATTACATAAAGCCAGATTAAATTTATAATAAAATCAGATAATGCCTTAATCTCTTTGGGTTTTTTTTTTTTTTTAAAGTATCATTTAGTAAGTGAAACAATAAAAGATGAAATAGGGAAAACAGTGACCTGCTAGTGATGTGTGTATTCTGAAAATTTATTTACATATAAGGATTGCTTTTCTTACTTTTATTTTCCATTATGGCTTTGTGGTTTTCTACCTGAAGTAAAGCTCATTGACTTGTATACATTTTGACTGGTCATTATACATCTCTGAACTATTGTTGAGAGCCTAAACTAAATTAGATGTCTTTTATTCGTTGTTAACTTTTTGATGTTTTTAAGGGATGACTTATCTGCTGCTCTTGAAGTCACCATTGACTGCTATGAAAAGTATAAAGTATTACCAAGGATTCATGATGTCTTATGTAAACTGATAGAGAAAGGCAAGACTGATCTAATTCAGAAAGGTTAGTAACCTTCTAATATCCTAGTGCAGTCGGAATTTTTTTTCCTTTTTGCTTATTTAATCTTAATGTATCCTTGTGAAAAGAAATCAGAAGACAAACGCATTGAGAGAAACTGTTACATTTCTGAATTGTAAAGAAAAATATCAGGTAGATTTTCAACATTATATATGTCCTTGATTTTAATAACTTCATTTTGAAAAGTTACCCCTCTATTGTTTTTGTGCTGTACTTCTTGTTGGTCTGCTTTTATGAAGATTTTTTTATCTTCATCCTCATCCATTCTCTTTGAAGCTAGTCGTGGTACATGTATGACATTATGACATTAAGATTGGGAATTATCGGGCCAGCCCGGTGGCGCACTCGGTAGAGTGCGGCGCTTGGGAGTGCAGCGGCACTCCCACCGAGGGTTCGGATCCCATATAGAGACCGGTCCGCTCACTGGTTGAGTGCGGTGCAGGTGCGACACCAAGGGTTGTGATCCCGTTGCCGGTCGCGGTACGGGCACGACACCGAGGGTTGCGATCCCGTTACCGGTCACGAAAAAAGACAAAAAAGGAAAAAAATAAAAAATAAAAAAAAGATTGGGAATTATCCTAGATAAAATAATTATCTAAATTATCTATTAGATAAGCAATATGACAGAAAGTTGATATAGTTATAATCTTTAAGTTCTTGATTTTTTTTTAAGATAAAGTTTTTTTGTTTTTTTATTTGTCTAGAACTTTGTGTGATACTGTGTTCTTATTTATTTTTCTTCTAATAAATATATATATTTTTCTTTCCTGTCTAGCAATGGACTTTGTGAGCCAACAAAAAGGTGAAATGACAATGCTTTATGATCTCTTCTTTGCCTTCCTACAAACAGGAAATTACAAAGAGGCCAAGAAGATCATTGAGGTGTGATGTTTTTAACTACAGTGCTCTAAATGTACAGCTATTTAACTCTTAATTAGAATACATTTAAAAATTTTAACCTTTAATTACACTTGTTCTGATTCATGTTAATAGAATTCAATCCCAATAATGGGAGGCGGGGGGAACTTGGCCAGCTTCTTTATTGTATATAATTACAGTTCAGTAAAGGCAGTCTGGTTGTATATTGAATTTGTTTCCTCACTTTGTTAAATTCACTATTATATATCAAAATGATATTTGCATATTAAATCTTGGATTGTGGAACAATTAAATTAAACTGGCATTCCTGGGTGTAAAGTTGCTAATCCTCTTTGCCAAAGAATTCTTTGTTCTTAAAAGCAGTGGAATTTAATTTGCTGCAGACCATGCTCAGATTTATTTGTAATGCTTGTCTACAAGTTAATCAGCCAAACAAGTGCTGTCTGCAACTGTTTGGCATTTAATTTAAATTTTCTTCTTCTTCTCTTTTTTATTATGGTAAGCAGCTTATGGGAAATGGTAGGTGACAAACCTGGCCTATTTAGGATTAGTGTATTTTATCTAGGCTTTACTGAAATTTTCCTTACTGGAATTGATAAGTCAGAGGGCAACTGTAAAGTCTGTCCAAATTGTGATTAACTTCACTATTAAACAATTCTGTGTCCACTAAGAAAACAAAACATTCTACAAAAGATGGGCCCATCATCTTAAGAAAAATTATTTCATGTCATTAAAACTGTTAACTTACAGATACATTAGGAATCACATTTCTCTCGGATCATTCTTGACTTTATGTCTTTTTCCAAAAATGCCCATGGTGGGCAAGATGCAAAGGTGGTATTTGACCTCCTTATTTGTATATTGATGACTGCTTTCATGAAACTGAAAATGTAGGCACAAAGCCCAGAAAATAGTTATTGTTTCTCCTGATGTTTTTCAAATAAGTTTAGTATAGGAAAAGAGGACTGTGAAATTAATTTAGAACTTTCTGTCTGTCTCATGACTCAATCTACCCACCTGTCAGAGGACAGTGGGACGTGCTGTTTTGGACAGGTGCTCCTATAGCTTAAGTATTTCATTTGTATTTTCTAGAAAATGGTATAAATTATTTTATTGAAAGCACCAGTGAATGTGAAAATGAGAGGAGCTATTTGCCTGTTGAACTCTACTACTCTGTATGCATGGTATCAGTATTAGGAGGTCACTGATTAGAGCAGAAAGCACAGGTTTTCAGATAATGGCAATGAGAGGTTCTACAGTAGGAAAGTATGTGCCTCTCTTTATGTAATAAGCAAGGCATAACAGAAGAAGCCAAAGGCATAAGAGTGAGTTGTCCCTTTGTCATTTACTTGCTTGTGTATGATAATGGACAAGTTACTAAACCTTCCTAAGCTTCTTCATCTGTAGAAGTGAATATAATGCCTGTCTTTAAGATTCAATCACATAATGTATGTAAAGCAGCTTGCATGTTTTCTGGATTATGGTAAATGATCAATAATATTAATTCTTTTTGCCCCTTAAAGATAGGGATTGTGTTGTCTTTTTTGCCCCACATAATTCACAAAATGATGCTTAGCGAGAAGGTATGTGTTTGTCACATGAATAGGTAAGAGAAAACTGCCTGTTAGTTACTTTTGAGCTTTGCCAGTATACAACAGCATTTAGGAATGGCTGTCTGTTGATGACAGAGTTTTTGTAGTGGTTGTATACAAAGTTGTAAAGGGTAAAGCATAGCTTTACAGAGCATTGCAGTTCCCGAGGGTAGGTAGGACAACAAGGTGTGTAATATATGAGAATATACTGAAGCACATTTTCAGGCTTTTTTAATGGTTAATTGGGGGTGAATTAAAGTGGGAACTTGCTTTTTTCACCATTAAAATGGAAGACCTAGAGTTCTCTCTTATCGTTTCCTAAGGATTTTTGAAAATATAAAAAGTAATGAAAATTAATAAACTAGGACCATATGAGCTTATGAAAGAATACTATAAGTACTGAGCAACATTTTTATCATTCCCAAAAAAGGAATAGTTTCTTATCAATGGGTAGATTCACTACAGTTGAATTTCCAAAGCTTCTTTATATATGAAGCACTGTGACAGATAACAACATAAACCAGACATGAAAATACTCACATTAAATAAAGAAAGATACAGGCAAAATTCAATGTATAAGTGCAATCTGTTTTATTTTAAAAATTAGTGTACATAAATCATGAATTATATATAATACATTTAACATAGTTTTAAATTTTATTTCTGTGCATGGATTATTGCGGGAGGGTGGAATTGAAGCTGAGTTTTCAAATATCCTTTTGTATTTGTTGAGTTTTTTATAAGGAGCGTGTACAATTGACCCTTGAACAACATGGGTTTGAACTACGAGGGTCCACTGTATGCAAATCTTTTTCAATTAATATACATACAGTACTGTAAATGTATTTTCTCTTCCTTAAAGTTTTCTTAATAACATTTTCTTTCTCTAGCTTACTTTACTATAAGAATACAGTATATAATACATACAAGGGTACTTCAAAAACTTCATGGAAAAATAGAATTAAAAGATAATATGAATCTTTCTGTGAACTTTTTGAAGTACTCTCATATAGGATATTAAATGTGTAGAAATAGACTGTTTATGTTGTCGGTAAGGCTTCCGGTTAACAATAGGCTATTAGTAATTAAGTTTGGGGGGAATCAAAAGTTATATGAGAATTTTTGACTGCATGGGGGTTGGCGCTTCTAACCTCTGCATTTTTCAAGGGTCAACTTCTTAAACCAGAAAAAACGTTATTTTCTTCCAAATCAGACTAATATCAGCCCTCAAGGAGCTGATGCGAAGCTCCTTGAACATGAGATAATTATGTGAAGATAACTGCTATATACAACTGAAAGGTGTTAATTGCTATAGGAATGGTATAAGTAGTTCAAAAGTGGAACTTATTCCTAGTGTAGGAAATTAGGGAAGACTTTCTGGAGGAAATAGGCCATGATGGATGTGGCAGTACTTTAACATTAAGGAATTTGATAGGGTTGGGAAGTGTAATGGAGGTAAAGACGTAGAAAAGAGAAGCTCTAAGTAGTGCCTTCATCCTGGGCTATAAAATTTGTGAGAAATATTTTGGAATGGTAGATTGTTCCCAGATTTTAGAGATCCTCAGTATCAGGATAAGGAAATTGGAGTTAATTCAGAAGACAATGGACTCCGAGTAGAGTTAAAAAGAAATATATACTAGCAGAAGGGTGTAAAATAGATTAAAGGGAGTTTAAGGCAGTGAGATTAATAAGGATCTGAATTAGGGTTGTGGTCATGGGGATTTTTAGATACTTTACTCAGTCATCTCAGTGATATTTAATCACTGAAGGTTAGTGACCTTAGTTAACAGAAGGTAGGGCAAATTAACAGAGGCATGAGATAAACTAAGGCTCTCACTCAGACCTGATACAGCCTCTCCTACAATGAACCCTTAGAGTTGGCATTGGCAGATTTCTTTCTCTGCAACTTCTTGAATGAAGCCTTTTAACGAAGGTGGCTGATAGCCTTGGAGTGGCTTCTCAGTTTGACCAACTTGTCCTTCCTTCCTTTTTCCCTAACTTCCTTCCTTCCTTCCTTCTGTCCATCCTCATCTCTCCCTCCTCCTTCCCTTTAACAAATAATTATTGATTACTTCTTACATCCTAGTCAAAGAGATAGACTTTAAAGAAATGAATCTATAAAATGCAATAATTGCTAAGAAAAAGTGTTGTAGAGGGACCTATATTACACAAGGTTTTTCTGAGGTAGTGATGTTTGGGATGAGAACTGAAAGATGAATTGGGAGCCAGCCATGTAAAAAGTGGAGACAAAAGAATTTCAGGCAGAGGGAACTGCCTGTGTAGAGGCCCTGAGGCAAGAAGTGCTTTCATCCTTTATCCTTGCTCTGCCTCTTAGGACTTTTATTTGATAACAGTAATAAGATGACATCTGGAGTGCCTGGTACTTTTTTTGTTGTTATTAGCGGCTGGCTGGTATGAGGATCCAAACCCTTGACCTTTTTGTTATCAGCACTGCTCTTACTAAACACTTAATGAATGTTAGTTTGATTCCCTTCCTTTTATATGACATTCTTTCCTGTGTTGAAGTCAGCCCTTTTGTCTCTTCTGCAGACTCATCCACTGTAGGCTAACTATCTCTAGTTCCTTCCAGTATTCTTATGGCACATTCTTGAATGAAATATGCCACTGAGCAGATGCTCACAAATTATTTTTACAAACTTACATGATTATGTCTGGTAGATACAGTTTGTGAAATATATTGTGTCTTGCCATAATGATGATCAGTCTTATTTTTTCCTGTGTGTAGATTCAAGTAAAACTTACAAATGTTATTACTTAAAATATGCTGAGTGTAAAGGCTCACTACTAATACCATTATTCATGTAGTCATCTTCATGGTTTTTCTGTCCTTTTATTCAATGAGTATTTCTTTTATGTATAATTGAAATGAATTGGATGATACAGCTTATTTAATACTTCATTCTTCATCATTGCCTCTTCTTTTCCATGCATGTAATTAAGAACTCTTTTAAGTATTATTTTTAATGGCCACATTATTCCATTGTATAAATGAACCAAAGTTTATTTGTCCCTTTCTCCTTTGATAAGAATCTTCATTATTATAAATAATACCCCTAATTTACATCTTTACCTATGGGCATATTTGGGTTTTTTTTTGTTTTTTTTTTCCTTTTTGTCTTTTTTCATGACCGGCAATGGATCGCAACCCTCAGTGTCGCACCCGTACCGGACCGGGACCGGCAACAGGATCGCAACCCTCGGTGTTGCTCCCGCACCCCGCTCAGCCAGTGAGCGGCCGGTCTGTATGTGGGATCCGAACCCTCTGCGGGAGCGCCGCCGTGCTTCCTAAGCGGCGTACTGTAGCAGTGCGCCACCGGGCCGGCCCCAAGCATATTTGGTTTTCAGATTATTTACTTAGGATCATTTCTCAAAAGTGGGTCAAATAGCATCACTCTTTTTAAGACTCCTGGTACATAAAGACAGAAATGTTGTTATGTCTTCGTAGATGAGACCTCCTATATAGTTCATAGTAGCAGAGATTGTACTAAAACCCTAGCTTTCTGAGTTGTAATCCAACACTCCTTTTGCTTAGAAGTTATGGTAGTATAAGATGGTATTTCTGGTATTTCTCTGTAAACAAACAAAAAGACTTCATTCTTTTAGTCTAGTATTTTTTAAGGTACTTTAGTCAACTCGCAGTAAGGGAGTGTTGTAGACCATTTAAATAAAATAATAGGTTTTGGATAATTTATTCTCTTTCAACACCAGACATTAAATCCAGGGAGAGATGATATACAGAAGTATAAAAAATTAAATAATGGTATGAAATGTTAAATAAATAACCATATTCAAGGTTTCTATAAAGAAATACATGATTTAATTTTATCCTTAGCCCTCTGAGTAATTCAGTAATCACTCAGTGAATACCTGCCACGTGCGAGGCACTGCTAGGTTCTCATTGCAAACACAGAGATGAGTAAGACTGCTTTAAACTTAGTTAGCAGTTTTTATTCTGACCTCTTCCACTGGGTTCAAACCTAGATTACTATCTAAACAATATAACTAATAATCATAGCATTTTTATACTTCTGAAGTGTTTTTCATGTACATCTTCATATGAGCCTTACAAAGAAACTTTGGGAAGTAATTAGGGCATAGGAGCTTATTATGATACCAGGAAATTTACATCAGAGTAATGTGATGAAATTAGAGTAGCAGCTAGACAATTATTTTTTATTTTGGATTACCATTTTTTTCCACTGTACAAGTGAATCTAGTACTGAACTGTAACCGGAGAAAGTTGTGTTTTGAAACACAGTAATCCTGGTGGAAACAAACATGCCTGTTTTTCTGTTACAATAATTATTTTGTCCATTTAAATAGATTGTATGTAGCGAAAACAGAAAGAACTAGAGATGAGTTTATTGTTTCAATTAACATTAACTGGTTTTTGATGTTATTCTTAACATCCCAATTAGAATTCTGTTCTTCTTCATGTTCTTACTACATTTTGTATTTCTGCTTTCAACTTGCAGTGTTTAAAATTCAATAAGATGTTAAGAGATAAGCCAGAAATGTTGACTATTACAGCAGCCTAGGAGATTTAGTTAATCTGACCTAGATGTTCTTTTGATGATTGAGATTTGTATATGAAACAGTTCTCAATTTCAAAATGAAACATAGGAAGATCTGCCATATAAGTCAGCTGTCCTGCCAGTGACAGACAAATTATAGCCACAAATAGGGACTAGTTCACTGTAAAAGTTGGACTATTTTGATCGTTGGCTTTTGGATGAGCAATACCATATAAGTCAGCTGTCCTGCCAGTGACAGACAAATTATAGCCACAAATAGGGACTAGTTCGCTGTAAAAGTTGGACTATTTTGATCGTTGGCTTTTGGATGAGCAATTATATTGAAAGTTGTAGGTGAATGTAGCCCTTACATTTTGCCATGTTATAAAGAAGATTATTTACTAGTTTTTCAAGGGCTTTTTGTATGCATTGATGTTGGTTTCATTTTCAATATAATGCATGTGAAACAAAAGAGATAATGTGAAAAAATCCTTGAATAGAAATTGTGTCTGAATGTAGGTATTAATGCTACTTGAAAGTATATTTCAACAATTAATTCATTCAACATTTGTTTCTTATATCCCAAAATGTGGATACTTGCACAGTTAGAATGAGAACACTTACACAACTTCTACTGTATCAGTTTTCCTGTCATTCTACCAAAGCTGCAAGATGTTAGTTTTTACTTCAGTTCTTTAACATTGTACAATGTTATTTTTAAAAATTAAAAATAATGAAGACTTATAAATAAGAGATCAGATTCAAGGGATCCCTAGTTCCATCAACAGAGCTGAGTGGAGAAAGCAGTAAAGGTACCTCCTCTAGACTGAGCAGCCAGGGCTAATGAGTATGTAGTTTTCTTATCATAATGCTGTGATTGAAATGTATTATTTAATGGTGAACCCCTCTTACGGATGATGAAAATACTATAGTTAAAGTGACAAATCCTTGGAATTATGTTGAAATGGTTTGTCTTTTATTCCAGTATCCAAAATTGTAAAATAAGTGCTTTGAAGCCAGAGTTATTGACTAAACCACAGTAATTTCTAGTTGAGAATACAACTATGTCTCAATTATTAAAATAAACTAATACTATGAACTGTTTTAAGTACTTAGCTTATTTTACTCTTTAGCCGTTTAGTTTTAGATGCTAAGGCAAGCATTTGTAGAAGTTATTAAAGTACTTTTATCACTGTAAATTTTGCCAAGCATGTTCGTTTAAAAATAAAAGCTTTTGGTTTATTATTGTGACAATTGTTAATAATTCTGTGTAACATATTAGTAATTTTTGTCTCCTTAATCTGTTGGAATCTCTGAAGTGAGAGAGAGAGAGACAGAGAGAGAATGCATGTGTATGAGAGAGAGCGAGAGAGAGAGTGTGTGTGCACATGCATGTGTACAGGCACATGTGTGTGTGTTTAATTTGACATATTTTAGAGTTGATTTAGTTTACCTCTTTTTGAACTAAAGACAGCATAATTATTTTATCAATTAAAGATTTATGAATGGTCATTGGCCTGCAAAGCAGCATTTTGAAATAACCTGAATCTTTAAATCTAGGTTAAATCTAGGATGTGATTTGTGCTCTTTTCTGATCTTAGTTAACTGTGGGATATAAAGTTATAGGTTTCTTTTAGTATATATGTTTGGCAGCAAATTCATTAGAAGGAAAACTATTTGTCTTTGAGGGAAAATTAATGTTTAGCTAGCGCCCTAACTTGTGTGCTGTATGATTATTTTATTTTATAGACTCCAGGCATTAGAGCTCGACCTACAAGACTTCAGTGGTTTTGTGATAGATGTATTACAAGTAATCAGGTATGTATTTAGTTTCTGATGTCTTAAGCACCCCAAAATAAGTAGAAAACAAGCATGCTACATGTCATATGAACATTTGGGGATTTCAGGAAATAGAGCCTACATCAGTCCTGAGAGACTGGAGGAGTTGCTTGATGGGAGCCAGTAGAATTTCTGCATTCTGTCTCCTCCAGTGTAGGTATCTGTTCACATTGTGCTAAGTAAAAGCCACCAGGAAAGAATAGTATAAAGTTCAGGTGGAGTATTTTTATTAATTTAAGATACACTCATTGAGTTTTCCCCACCCTGTTCTCCATCCCAAAATTCACCTCTGTGATGGTTCTTTCAAGTAGATAGTTAATTATGTTGAGTTCTTGACTCCGAAGTTCTTTAACTTAAAAAAAAAATTTGTTTTTAATTTTGATAAAATATATATAATATAGAATTTATCATTTTAGGCATTTTTAGTGACATTAATTATATTGACATTGTTGTGCTTAGCCCTTTAACTTTTGAAGTGAAGTTACTCTGCCCTTTGGGGAAAACTAATTTGAAGGATTATTCAATTACTATGTGTCAACTTTCAGATATATCCTTCATGCAATGTAGAGTCATCTGTTAATCTTATTTTTAAGGTTGAAACTCTGGAAAAATTAGTGGAGCTGACGCAGAAGCTATTTGAATGTGATAGAGACCATATGTACTACAGCCTACTAAAACTGTACAGTAAGTGATTTGACTGTTCTTCATGTTTTCGTTTATTTTTTCTGTTGAGGGCAGTTACAGGCAAGGAGTATTAGGCTTTGAGGAAGCTTCAGGGATTGTCAATTATGGAGTCTTCAACAGAGACTCAAGTAGAGCATAGATTGAACTTTATTACATAATGTTGTATCACTAGACACTATGAAATCTTCTGATATTCTGACATTTCTGACATTCTTACTGCAATTAATTAGAAGGTAAGAATATCTTCATCAGAGCTACAGAATTTTGTAGGAGTTTTTGAGGACTGTTCTTTTTCTTCTTTTTCTTTAAATCCTCAAGTAGATTTATCAGTCACTCCTTATAAATAAGTAACCATCAATACGTTCATGTGTATAGATATTTTTGCAGAAAGATGTACATCTAGTTATCTCATTGTTAAACAATTTTTTAATGTGATTATATTATAAACTTTTATTTTTGACTCAATTATATATTAAAAGCATTTTCTACATTTAATCACCTACAAGTGACTAATGTACTGAATAGATGTCCTAGAATTTACTCAGCCATTTTCCTATTGCTGGGCATGTGAATAGATTTCAATTTTCTGTATTATAAAATAACACTACATTATTCATCTTTATACCTTAATCTTTGTACCCTCAATTGTTTCCTTAGACTGAATTCTTAGTATTTGTATTAAGGGTAAAATGTGATTGACATTTCTGAAACTTTTGACTTCTATTACTAAACAATTCTCTAATATGTTATACAGGTGTACATGTTAGGGAGCTTTACACTCTCTTTTAGGATATTTGGGTAGATGGAAACAACACTTAAAACAGCTAGTGACCTTTTTTTGCTTCATAGATATTTGATTTGGATTTATTCTGTTTTTGTCATGGCAAATCTTACTTTACCAAACATAGACAGCAATGAATAATATATAAGATAAATTTGTCTTTTTGAACTTGCATTCAGTATCAGCAGAAGCTTCATCCTACATCTTGATGGTATAAGTAAAATAACACTTGCTTTAAAATTTACATTTCAGGGGCCGGCCCGGTGGCGCACTGCGCTAGTGCGCCGCTTGGGAAGCGCGGCGGCGCTCCCGTCGAGGGTTCGGATCCCACATACAGACCGGTTCCCGCTCACTGGCTGAGCGAGGCGCGGGGGCAACGCCGAGGGTTGCGATCCCGTTGCCGGTCCCGGTCCGGTGCGGGGGCAACACTGAGGGTTGCGAACCGTTGCCGGACATGGAAAAAGACAAAAAAAAAAAAAAAAAAAAAAAAATTTAAATTTCAATTTTTGGTTGCATTGAAAAACACACTTCACAGGGTAATTTTTAAAAATTTTT